TAAGAGAGTGATAAAGGGCCAGGAGGGCTGACTGTGGAACATAGTACCGTATCTTTGATAGTATGCCTACAGTCTTGGAGATTTTCTTAGAAATTTGTTGTATATGTGTATGAAATTTGAGTCTATTATCGAGGTGGATTCCTTGGAATTTTCCCTCTGTTAGCTTTGTGATAGGTGATCTGTTTATTGTTATGTTAAGAGCTACATCTGTAGCTCTGTTACCAAACTGAATGAAGTAGGTTTTGTCAATGTTTAGTGTAAGTTTGTTAGTCCTCATCCAGGTAGATATTTTCTGTAATTCGGTGTTTACAGTATTGGCTAGCGTGACTGGGCTCGGGTGAGAGAAGACGTATGTAGTGTCATCTGCAAAAAGTGTGGGTTTGAGTAATTGCGAAGCATTTGGTAGGTCATTTATGTATAGGAGAAAGAGAAGAGGGCCAAGGACACTTCCCTGTGGGACACCAACTGTAATTGGTTGTGCGGAAGAGCTTGCCCCATTTGCGTACACATATTGGCTTCTGTTGCTGAGGTAAGACTTGAGGTAGTTGAGGGAGTGCCCTCTAATACCATAGTGTGACAATTTTACGTGGAGCAAGTCATGGTCAACTGTATCCAAAGGTTTACGTAAGTCAATGAAGATCCCCAGTGGGACTTCTTTTTTCTCTATTGCAGTGTATATATGTTCTAGCATGTGTATAATAGCATCATTAGTATTTTTATTAGGCCTGAATCCAAATTGGCAGGGGTTGAGAATGTTTTGGGAGATGAGGTAGGAGTAGATTCGTTTATGAATTAATTTTTCGAAGATTTTTGAGAGAGGGTGTAAATTGGATATTGGCCTATAGTTATTCAACTCTGTTTGGTCTCCTCCTTTATGGATCGGGGTGACCCTTGCTATTTTGAGAACTATAGGGAAGGTGGAGGATTCAATGGATTTGTTAAAGAGTGTTGCAATGATTGGTGATAGTACTTGTGATGCTTTTTTGTATATAAAGGGTGGTAAGGTATTTAAATCTCCTGCCTTGTTTTTCAGTGCGTTGATAATAAGGGAGACTTCGTATGGGTTAGTCGGAGCTAGGAACAGTGTGTTCGGGTAGTTGCCAGTGAGGTAGTCATTTGGTGGGGTATCTGAGCTTGGGATTTTATTGGCAAGGTTTTGACCTATAGTGGAGAAGAAATCATTGAGTCTGTTTGCTGTTTCTGTTGGTGGGAGTTGGGGTTCATCTGATTTTGCTAATTTTATTTCGTTATGTCGTGATATCTTTTTTGTTCCCAGAATTTCTGATAGGGTCTTCCAGGTCTTTTTATATCACCTCGTAAGTTGGATAATCTGTTCTCATAATACAATTTTTTTGCCCTTCTTATCAGGCTGGTTAGGTTAGTATTCTCCTTGTATCCCATCTACCTTTTACTCTCAGTGTAGCTACAACTAGAAAATGATCTGATATATCTGTGGCCCCTCTATAAACATGTACATCCTGAAGTCTACTCAACAGTCTTTTATCTACCAATACATAATCCAACAAACTACTGTCATTTCGCCCTACATCATATCTTGTATACTTATTTATCCTCTTTTTCTTAAAATATGTATTACCTATAACTAAACCCCTTTCTATACAAAGTTCAATCAAAGGGCTCTCATTATCATTTACACCTGGCACCCCAAACTTACCTACCACACCCTCTCTAAAAGTTTCTCCTACTTAAGCATTCAGGTCCCCTACCACAATTACTCTCTCACTTGGTTCAAAGGCTCCTATACATTCACTTAACATCTCCCAAAATCTCTCTCTCTCCTCTGCATTCCTCTCTTCTCCAGGTGCATACACGCTTATTATGACCCACTTCTCGCATCCAACCTTTACTTTAATCCACATAATTCTTGAATTTACACATTCATATTCTCTTTTCTCCTTCCATAACTGATCATTCAACATTACTGCTACCCCTTCCTTTGCTCTAACTCTCTCAGATACTCCAGATTTAATCCCATTTATTTCCCCCCACCGAAACTCCCCTACCCCCTTCAGCTTTGTTTCGCTTAGGGCCAGGACATCCAACTTCTTTTCATTCATAACATCAGCAATCATCTGTTTCTTGTCATCCGCACTACATCCACGCACATTTAAGCATCCCAGTTTTATAAAGTTTTTCTTCTCTTTTTTAGTAAATGTCTACAGGAGAAGGGGTTACTAGCCCATTGCTCCCGGCATTTTAGTCGCCTCATACGACACGCATGGCTTACGGAGGAAAGATTCTTTTCCACTTCCCCATGGACAATAGAAGAAATAAAGAGGAACAAGAGCTATTTAGAAAAAGGAGAAAAACCTAGATGTATGTATATATATATATGCATGTGCGTGTCTGTGAAGTGTGACCAAAGTGTAAGTAGGAGTAGCAAGATATCCCTGTTATCTAGCGTGTTTATGAGACAGAAAAAGAAACCAGCAGTCCTACCATCATGCAAAACAGTTACAGGTTTCTGTTTCACAGTCATCTGGCAGGACGGTAGTACTTCCCTGGGTGGTTGCTGTCTACCATCCTACTACCTACTAGTGCTTTTGTAAATGTATTTTTGGGGGTCTGAAACGGACTAATCTTAATTTACATTATTCCTTATGGGAACAAATTCGTTTGGTATTGGCACTTGAACAGCCTTCTGGAATGAATTAAGTTCATAACTTGAGGTACCACTGTACACAGAAGTCTGTAAGTTGGCCAATTTTATGCAAATTTAAAGTTGCAGTAAATAAAGTGCAAAATAAACACTGTAGGCATTCCAGCTACTAAAGCAACATTTCCTATTTTTCTTAATCATGTCCCCAAACCTCTCCGATATTACACTTCCCCTCTATTTTTAATTTATAATCAAACACAATGAGGTTTTGCGTTATTTCTCGGGAAGTATAACTAGGAATGATTTGTCTTAGTTGAGGGCGTCCCAATTCTTGAAGTAGACCAAGTAAAAATACATAAAACGGCTAGGTGAGGGGGGAGGGGCTTATTGGCCCTCAGAAAAATCTTCAAAAATCGAACTTTGAGGCCTATTTCAAGTTACTTTCTCTCACGAAATCAACCATAATCATTTTTATTTCAGTAGTATTTTTTCTATTCTATCAATTAATACCAAGAAACAGCTAATAAAACTATAACAGTCATCCCAGAAAACACTTCAAATTTGCTATTTTAAACCAAACATAAGGTCACAAGTTTGCTTTTCATATCATGCACTGCGTTGGGCAGGTTTTTTTTATACAGTGCATGCTCACCACACAGACCCATTTTCTAATGTCTGGGTCAAAATTTACTGCTCACAGCATATTTGGGGGAGCTATGCTTAAAACGTAGATTAACATGGATGATGCTGACTCAGTAATGCAGATCTATGGAAGAGACATTGTTGTCTGTTTAAAGCTTATGGTAATTAAAGTGCATTTGAATAATTACAGGAAAAACAGGCTTTGAAAATAGTTTTGAATTATTTGCAATGAAAATACTATATAGTATTATATGCCACAAATCATACTGTAAAAATGAAAATTAAGATAAATGGCTTCAAAAGAATGATTTGCTGCTTCATCTCTATGTAAAGAGTTCCTTGGTGCTGGTGATGGGTCCTTGATTGTAGGAATTTGAGCTACCCTCCCTGTCTTTGGTTCAGATATGATTATTTCTCATTTTCCAGGTGATGTATGACTCCTACAGAGTGTTCTAAACAAGTAGACTTCATATCAAATAGGTTTTTACTTGCAGTGCAATACATAAAGTTTGTTGCCTGAGCATCTTCCTACATCCAAAACCTTGATTTGGATGTAGGTTTGCAGTGAGGAAATACAGGATATAGAGTGGTTCTTCTTAACTGTATGTATTCTATTTCTTTATTCATTTATATCTATATTTATTGTTATTAATCCCCACAACAGAGGTTCCTTGATGCTAATGAGGGGCTCTTGATCTAGGGAATTGAACTTGTGCTCCAGTTTCTTAAATTGATCCTGAATGTCTTACATTACCCTATGGATTTAGTGCTCCCTCAAGTGTAACAATATTAACATTGATTTTCATGCCAGGCTCTTACTCCGGCTTTGAAAGTACTATCTTTAAGATAGATGCTGTCTACCATTTTTGTTAGATTATTGTTTAATTACTGCATTCTTATGGTGTCTTATCTTTTACTCTGATTGCCTTTGTGTCTTGTACCCATACATGCTGCTCTAATCATGTACATTCTCAGGTGTATATTGCTAGTAATAAACAAATACTGTTTATATGGGTTCTTTATTGAATACTTTACTTACAGTAGTTGGTTAAGTACAGTATAATTTTTACAAAGAAAAACCCATAGTAAACCTTCAGTTTAATGGATTAATAAGGGAAAGTTGGTAATAAAAATTAAGGTGGATAATGATGACTTTTTTTTTGTTGTAACAATAATGGACAATTCACCCCAAATCTTCACTTAGTAGAGGAACCCCACGATGACTTTTCAGCTTGTCCTTGACAATCATCAAGTCACAACTGGGGCAGTAAAAGTAGAAAAGGTCAGATAACAGTATGATAGGGAATGGGGGAAGAAGGATGTGGTAGTCGTAGAATTGGTGGCAGTAGTATTAGTAGTAGTAATGACAATGGTCCAGGATGAACCAAAAGGCCATCATAAGGCTCTTCTCCTAAGTGAGAGTTTTTGGTGAATTGTTCCAGCTTCAGTATTATGACTTCTTATTCTTCAGTAATGGACAGTTCTCCATCCACCAGATTTTGCCCACTGATTCCGACTCGAGCAACCCATTAGATTTTGACTTGCATTTCTAAAGTCTGTCCAATTTAGGGTTTACTGTTTTTCATTTTACAACTGTAATATTAATACTTTTGAAATGTAACTGAAACCCCCCCAAAAAAACCATCACGATCATATAGGTAAAGTAAATATTTATGGTAACACAACACAATACAATACAGTACTACCTGCATTCATTTTTTCCCATTTCTTATTTCAGATCCATAAGTGGCATTATTTACAATGAGTACTCTAATAGAGAAAACAACAGTCAGTGTGAATACCAATAATGTTCCACCTAATGACCCTGAAAAAAGTGTCCCACAAGATGTAGGAAGTGTGATGCAACTGCATATTAAGCCTGCTTTTGAAAGTACAGTATGTCTTGTGAATCAGCTGGTTGCACACTTCAGCAAAGATCATCGGCAAGGAATACACATTAGAGATAAGACCAAGGAAAATGTCCTTCAGAGACAATTAAAAACATTGGTCTTCTCAGTCTTGTTGTCATACAGAAAAGGTAAGGAAACTTCATTTTACTCTTATTCTGTGCTTTATTTCTATATTGAAATTTCTAAATAGTTCATTTAAAATACAGTGTGTATGTACAGTGGAACCTCAGCTTACGAATGTCCCACCATGCGAATTTTTCAGGATACGAACCATCGTTTGGTCAATTTTTTGCTTCTAGATACGAAGGAAATTTCAGGATGCGAACTTTCCCCTCAAGGGAGGTTCCTTAAATAAATAAATAAAGTATTTATTTCTTTGCAAAGGTTACAATGTGTGTTTACATATCATAATTTGCCTGGTCACAGACCGGGCTGCAGGGGCGTTGATCCCCGAAACTCTTTCCAGGTAAACTCCAGGTAAAGAAAGCCACTATCATGTTGAGGCATTTCGGTCAGACTTAATCTACAACTTATAGACTACTTAAGTCTAGATAGGTGAAAAGTGTATTAGTAGTGGTTACCAATGTTTTGCTGATGGTGGCACCAACTACTGGTAGCCTTTTGAAGTTTCTTCTTACTGTTATTATTATTATTATTATTATTATTATTATTAGTATGTACATGGTGATGGGCTCTTGATCTATGGAATTGGATATGTGCTCCAGTTCCCTAAATTAATAATAATACGTATGTAATAATAATAATATGTTGTCATTTTTAGACATTTTTCATATATTTTTTTCATATTTTTGTGCCAAATGCTTCAAAATAGAAATTGGTAACCCTCTGGGTGGGTGTAGGTACAGCTGCTACGACCATGGCTATCTCAGTGCCAACCAAGAGTCAAAAGGAAGAGGAGGTCTGCCGCTCTGCGTGATCACAGCAGACCCTTGGGATGCATAATTTTGTCTTATATTGTACAAATTTCTTACACAATGCCTCACACAAAAAGACATTATTTACGTACAATCAGCAAGAAGCGATTAGAAACTGTGAAAAATGCTAGAGAAACGAAGAAGGCAGCAGCATAGAGTGGGGCAGCTGGCCGCCACCACCACCACCACCACCACTGTGGCCATTGCCACCACCACCACCGCTGTGCCCACAGTGATCATGTCTTCACCTATATATACATCTGTCTTGACCATATCTGTGGTTACATGTGACAACCTCACCACTAATCATAGATACACAAGCTAGGTGTGGGGTTATGGACTGGGAAGATACTAGAGTGGGAGAGTAAATGGCGGATGCTTTCTGCCGCTGCTGGTGTCGCCATCACTTGCCATATTATGGCCTATTTTATTCATTCTAGAGTATATATCATGTTTCTATGTTATTAATATTGTTTATTACATCATATTGGATGAATTGTGATAAATAAATAAGCCTCCTGAGAAGCTGGAATGGATTAATTGCATTTCAATTAATTTAAATGAGGAAAATTGACTCAGCATATGAGCAACTCAGGATACGAACAAGGTCACGGAATGGATTAAATTCGTAAGCCGAGGTTCCACTGTACTTTATTATTAGCAATATTAGTACAACCACAGTGTATGGCTACTCTACTCTGTATGTCATGTTACAAGGTTAAACATGCCTGATGAATCACCAGTCATACTCAGTAATCTGTCTAGTTCTTTAGAAGTATTTAAGCATTAGGATTAATTTGCCCAAAATGCACTGCATGCTAGTGGCTTTTTGTTCCTAACAGTATTTTATTACATGTAAACTACATTCATTGCATACTTCATAAGAGAAATAAAGTATTTGTATTTATACCTCACCACACCAGATGGTTTCTACAGAAAAAAATTAACTCTTTTAATCTGCGCTGGGAGAACATTGAGGATATTTTTTTCTGCTAATCTTTATGATCTATAAATATTTTCCATGAGTCCTTTTTCTTAGTTCTAAGGTTGTTCAACCAAGGGCTATAGCAATGTTTACCCTACCTAACTTTTTTGTATTTTACTGAATTGATCAGTATATCTGTATTATCCTTGCTTTTTAGTGTGATTTACTTTAACATGACTTGCCCGTCCTTAATTTTGCTCATTGCTCCCAAGTGTTATGTTCAAGATAGGAATTCTGTCATGCCTCTAGTCCCACTTTTACTGTCTCTTTCCTGCACCTCCACTGATTACAGTAACTGAATGTCAGGATACAATGGTATTTGGATTCTTTGGGGAATTATTATATTAGTCTATCTTGCTGTTGTCTGATTTCTCTAGGTAAACAGTAGGGCTACACTTAATATTTTACCAGAACTACCATTCTTATAAGCTCTTTGACATGTTGAATAAGAGCACACACATACTATCGCTTCATCCACTACCCTTGTTCACCATGTTTCTTCACTATGAGTGAAGAATGCCTTTTACAGGAGGGCCTCACTTTACAGTGTTTTGTTCTACAGCGTTGCACTAATACAGAGGTTTCCATTTATACCCATTCTTCATTTATTCAGGCTACCCACAATAAATATATTCATTACTCACTATCAGCTAAGTACAAATATTTAAAAGTTAAAAAGGGCTATGTTTCACTGTACAGCAATTTTTGCTTTACAGCTGTAGCCTAGAACTTAACCTGCTGTATAAGTAGGGCCCTCCTGTAGTCTATTTCCCAATGATTGAAGTCCTCATAGATATGGAGCCTTGCCCCAACTTGTCTGCAATGAACACTGCTCCCTATAAGGATGGTGGATTAATTGTTTTTAATTCTAATTTAATCTTTTAATGTGTTCATGTAGGTAGTAGTTGGTAGACAGCAACTGCCCAGGGAGGTGCTACCGTCCTGCCAAGTGAGTGTAAAACGAAAGCCTGTAATTGTTTTACTTGATGGTAGGATTGCTGGTGTCTTTTGTCTGTCTCATAAATATGCAAGATTACAGGTATGTCTTGCTACTTCTACTTACACTTAGGTCACAATACACATACATATACACGTTTATTTATACACACTCATCTGAGTTTTCTTTGATTTTATCTTAATAGTTCTTGGTCTTATTACTTTTCCTTTTATATCCATGGGGAAGTGGAATAAGAATCTTTCCTCCGTAAGCCATGCGTGTTGTAAAAGTCAACTAAAATGCCGGGAACAATGGGCTAGTAACCCCTTTTCCTGTAAAGATTACTAAAAAGAATAAGAAGAAAATTGTCAGAGTGGGAAGTCTGAATGTGCGTGGATGTTGTGCAAATGATAAGAAAGAGATGATTGTGGATGTTATGAATGAGAAGCTGGATGTCCTGGCTTTAAGTGAAACAAAGCTGAAAGGGGTGGGAGAGTTTCAGTGGAGAGGAATAAATGGGATTAGGTCAGGGGTTTCAAATAGAGTTAGAGCTAAAGAAGGAGTAGCAATAATGTTGAAGGATAAGATATAGCAGGAAAAGAGGGACTATAAATATATTAATTCAAGGATTATGTGGAGTAAAATAAAGATTGGATGTGAAAAGTGGGTTATAGTAAGCATATATGCACATGGAGAAGAGAGAAGTGTAGAGGAGAGAGAGAGATTTTGGGAAATGTTGAGTGAATGCGTGGGGAGTTTTGAACCAAGTGTGAGAGTACTTGTGGTTGGGGATTTCAATGCTAAAGTGGGTAAAAATGTTGTGGAGGGAGTAGTAGGTAAACTTCGGGTGCCAGGGGTAAATGTAAATGGGGAGCCTTTAATTGAGCTATGTGTAGAAAGAGATTTGGTAATAAGTAATACATATTTTATGAAAAAGAGGATAAATATACAAGGTATGATGTAGCAAGTAATGAAAGTAGTTTATTAGATTATGTATTGGTGGATAAAAGGTTAATGGGTAGGCTCCAGGATGTACATGTTTATAGAGGGGCAACCGATATATCGGATCATTATTTAGTTGTAGCTACAGTTAGAGTAAGAGATAGATGGGACAAGAGGAAGGTGGCAACAACAAGTAGGAGGGAAGTGAAAGTGTATAAACTAAGGGAGGAGGAACTTCGGGTGAGATATAAGCGACTATTGGCAGAAAGGTGGGCTAGTGCAAAGATGAGTAGTGGGGGGGTTGAAGAGGGTTGGATGAGTTTTAAAAATGCAGTATTAGAATGTGGGGCAGAAGTTTGTGGTTATAGGGAGGGTGGGGCAGGAGGAAAGAGGAGTGATTGGTGGAATGATGAAGTAAAGGGTGTGATAAAAGAGAAAAAGTTAGCTTATGAGAGGTTTTTACAAAGCAGAAGTGTTATAAGAAGAGCAGAGTATATGGAGGTAAAAGAAAGGTGAAGAGAGTGGTGAGAGAGTGCAAAAGGAAAGCAGATGATAGAGTGGGAGAGGCACTGTCAAGAAATTTTAATGAAAATAAGAAAAAATTTTGTAGCGAGTTAAACAAGTTAAGAAAGCCTAGGGAACGTATGGATTTGTCAGTTAAAAACAGAGTAGGGGAGTTAGTAGATGGAGAGAGGGAGGTATTAGGTAGATGGCGAGAATATTTTGAGGAACTTTTAAATGTTGAGGAAGAAAGGGAAGCGGTAATTTCATGCACTGGCCAGGGAGGTATACCATCTTTTAGGAGTGACGAAGAGCAGAATGTAAGTGTGGGGGAGGTACGTGAGGCATTATGTAGAATGAAAGGGGGTAAAGCAGCTGGAACTGATTGGATCATGACAGAAATGTTAAAAGCAGGGGGGGATATAGTGTTGGAGTGGTTGGTACTTTAGTTCAATAAATGTATGAAAGAGGGGAAGGTACCTAGGGATTGGCAGAGAGCATGTATAGTCCCTTTATATAAAGGAAAAGGGGACAAAAGAGATTGTAAAAATTATAGAGGAATAAGTTTACCGAGTACACGAGGAAAAGTGTATGGTAGGGTTATTATTGAAAGAATTAGAGGCAAGACAGAATGTAGGATTGCAGATGAGCAAGGAGGTTTTAGAGTGGGTAGGGGATGTAGATCAAGTGTTTACATTGAAGCATATATGTGAACAGTATTTAGATAAAGGTAGGGAAGTTTTTATTGTATTTATGGATTTAGAAAAGGCATATGATAGAGTGGATAGAGGAGCAATGTGGCAGATGTTGCAAGTATATGGAATAGGTGGTAAGTTATTAAATGTTGTAAAGAGTTTTTATGAGGATAGTGAGGCTCAGGTTAGGGTGTGTAGAAGAGAGGGAGACTACTTCCCGGTAAAAGTAGGTCTTAGACAGGGATGTGTAATGTCACCATGGTTGTTTAATATATTTATAGATGGGGTTGTAAAAGAAGTAAATGCTAGGGTGTTCGGGAGAGGAGTGGGATTAAATTATGGGGAATCAAATACAAAATGGGAATTGACACAGTTACTTTTTGCTGATGATACTGTGCTTATGGGAGATTCTAAAGAAAAATTGCGAAGGTTAGTGGATGAGCTTGGGAGTGTGTGTAAAGGTAGAAAGTTGAAAGTGAACATAGAAAAGAGTAAGGTGATGAGGGTATCAAATGATTTAGATTAAGAAAAATTGGATATCAAATTGGGGAGGAGGAGTATGGAAGAAGTGAATGTTTTCAGATACTTGGAAGTTGACGTGTCGGCAGATGGATTTATGAAGGATGAGGTTAATCATAGAATTGATGAGGGAAAAAAGGTGAGTGGTGCGTTGAGTTATATGTGGAGTCAAAAAACATTATCTATGGAGGCAAAGAAGGGAATGTATGAAAGTATAGTATGTAATACCAACTGTTATATGGGTGTGAAGCTTTGGTTGTAAATGCAGCAGCGAGGAGGTGCTTGGAAGCAGTGGAGATGTCCTGTCTAAGGGCAATGTGTGGTGTAAATATTATGCAGAAAATTCGGAGTGTGGAAATTAGGAGAAGGTGTGGAGTTAATAAAAGTATTAGTCAGGGCTGAAGAGGGGTTGTTGAGGTGGTTTGGCCATTTAGAGAGAATGGATCAAAGTAGAATGATATGGAGAGCATTTAAATCTGTAGGAGTAGGAAGGCGGGGTAGGGGTCGTCCTCGAAAAGGTTGGAAGGAAAGGGTAAGGGAGGTTTTGTGGGCGAGGGGCTTGGACTTCCAGCAGGCATGCATCAGCGTGTTCGATAGGAGTGAATGGAGACGAATGGTATTTGGGACCTGACGATCTGTTGGAGTGTGAGCAGGGTAATATTTAGTGAAGGGATTCAGGGAAACCGGTTTATTTTTATATAGCCGGACTTGAGTCCTGGAAATGGGAAGTACAATGCCTGCACTCTAAAGGAGGGGTTCGGGATATTTGCAGTTTTGAGGGATATGTTGTGTATCTTTATACGTATGTGTTTCTAAACTGTTGTGTTCTAAACACCTCTGCAAAAACAATGATTATGTGTGAGTGAGGTGAAAGTGTTGAATGATGATGAAAGTGTTTTCTTTTTGGGGATTTTCTTTCTTTTTGGGTCACCCTGCCTCGGTGGGAGATGGCCGATTTGTTGAAAACAAAAATGTATATATACTGTACACATTATTTATTCTTTCCAACTTTAATCAAAATACAATTTGTTTATTCCAGATTATAAAACAGATAACTCTGTTGTTAAACTAACTGAGGTAGAAGATGTCATTTGGCAGACTTTTATGCTTCGTCAGCATCGCAGGTATGATGACGGTAACTCTCTGGAAAGATGCTTGCAGTGTTTGAAGGAGCAGGGTATGTATATGAGCATTATAGTTTTCATTTGTCACATTTAGCATTTATTGTATTTAATGAGACTTGCAATGTAAACCAATACATTTTCTTTCAACGCACCGGCCGTATCCCACCGAGGCAGAGTGGCCCAAAAAGAAAAATGAAAGTTTCTCTTTTTAATTTTAGTAATGTATACAGGAGAAGGGGTTACTAGCCTCTTGCTAAACCAATACATATATGATAAAAAACTGTATTGTATAATACATGTTAGTCAAGGGTTGTATTATGTTCTGTGTCCTCAGTGATATGCAAACATTTGCACAACTTCATCTTTATCTTCCATAGCTATATTTCACTTTCTGTGTTCCAGCCTAATATCCTTATCTGTTATTATCTTCCTTTTTTTCTTCATACTTATTTTGATTTTTTTTTTTTTTTTTTTTTTTTTCCAACAAGTCGGTCGTCTCCCACCGAGGCAGGGTGACCCAAAAAAGAAAGAAAATCCCCAAAAAGAAAATACTTTCATCATCATTCAACACTTTCACCACACTCACACATTATCACTGCTTTTGCAGAGGTGCTCAGAATACAACAGTTTAGAAGCATATACGTATAAAGATACACAACATATCCCTCCAAACTGCCAATATCCCAAACCCCTCCTTTAAAGTGCAGGCATTGTACTTCTCATTTCCAGGACTCAAGTCCGACTATATGAAAATAACCGGTTTCCCTGAATCCCTTCACTAAATATTACCCTGCTCACACTCCAACAGATCGTCAGGTCCCAAGTATCATTCGTCTCCATTTACTCCTATCTAACACGCTCATGCACTCTTGCTGGAAGTCCAAGCCCCTCGCCCACAAAACCTCCTTTACCCTCTCTTTCCAACCCTTTCGAGGACGACCCGTACTCCTCTTTCCTTCCCCTATAGATTTATATGCTTTCCATGTCATTCTACTTTGATCCATTCTCTCTAAATGACCAAACCACCTCAACAACCCCTCTTCTGCCCGCTGACTAATGCTTTTATTAACTCCACACCTTCTCCTAATTTCCACACCGAATTTTCTGCATAATATTTACACCACACATTGCCCTTAGACAGGACATCTCCACTGCCTCCAACCTTTCTCTCACTGCTGCATTTACCACCCAAGCTTCACATCCATATAAGAGTGTTGGTACTACTATAATTTCATACATTCCCTTCTTTGCCTCCTTTAGATAACGTTTTTTGACTCCACATATACCTCAACGCACCACTCACCTTTTTCCCTCATCAATTCTATGATTAACCTCATCCTTCATAAATCCATCCGCCGACACGTCAACTCCAAGTATCTGAAAACATTCACTTCTTCCATACTCCTCCTCCCAATTTGATATCCAATTTTTTTTTATCTAAATCATTTGATACCCTCATCGCCTTACTCTTTTCTATGTTCACTTTCAACTTTCTACCTTTACACACATTCTCAAACTCATCCACTAACCTTTGCAATTTTTCTTTAGAATCTCCCATAAGCACAGTATCATCAGCAAAAAGTAACTGTGTAAATTTCCCCATTTTGAATTTGATTCCCCATAATTTAATCCCACCCTCTCCCGAACACCCTAGCATTTACTTCTTTTACAACCCCATCTATAAATATATTAAACAACCATGGTGACATTACACCTCCCTGTCTAAGACCTGCTTTTACCGGAAGTATTCTCCCTCTCTTCTACACACCCTAACCTGAGCCTCACTATCCTCATAAAAGCTCTTTACAGCATTTTTGTAACTTACCACCTATTCCATATACTTGCAACATCTACCACATTGCTCCTCTATCCACTCTATCATATGCCTTTTCTAAATCCATAAAATGCAATAAAAACTTCCCTACCTTTATCTAAATACTGTTCACATATATGCTTCAATGTAAACACTTTATCTACACATCCCCTACCCACTCTGAAGCCTCCTTGCTCATCTGCAATTCTACATTCTGTCTTACCTCTAATTCTTTCAATTATAACTATACCGTATACTTTTCCTGGTATACTCAGTAAACTTATTCCTCTATAATTTTTACAATCTCTTTTTTCCCCTTTCCCTTTATATAAAGGGACTATACATGCTCTCCGCCAATCCCTAGGTTTCCTTCCCCTCTTTCATACATTTATTAAACAAAAGTACCAACCACTCCAACACTATATCCCCCCTGCTTTTAACATTTCTGTCATAATCCCATCAGTTCCAGCTGCTTTACCCCCTTTCATTCTACGTAATGCCTCACGTACCCTCCACCACACTTATATTCTGCTCTTCTTCACTCCTAAAAAATGGTATACCTCCTGGCCAGTGCATGAAATTACCGCCTCCTTTTCTTCCTCAACATTTAAAGTTCCTCAAAATATTCTCGCCATCTACCTAATACCTCCCTCTCCCCATCTACTAACTCCCCTACTCTGTGTTTTAACGGACAAATCCATACTTTCCCTAGGCTTTCTTAACTTGTTTAACTCACTCCAAAATTTTTTCTTATTTTCATTAAAAAATTTTTTGACAGTGCCTCTCCCACTCTTTCATCTGCTCTCCTTTTTCACTCTCTCACCACTCTCTTCACCTTTCTTTTACTCTCCTATACTCTGCTGTTCTTATAACACTTCTGCTTTGTAAAAAACTCTCATAAGCTAACTTTTTCTCTTTTATCACACCCTTTACTTCATCATTCCACCAATCACTCCTCTTTCCTCCTGCCCCCACCCTCCTATAACCACAAACTTCTGCCCCACATTCTAATACTGCATTTTTAAAACTATTCCAACCCTCTTCAACCCCCCCACTACTCATCTTTGCACTAGCCCACCTTTCTGCCAATAGTCACTTATATCTCGCCCGAAGTTCCTCCTCCCTTAGTTTATACACTTTCACCTCCCTCTTACTTGTTGTTGCCACCTTCCTCTTTTCCCCTCTACCTCTTACTCTAACTGAAGCTACAACTAAATAGTGATCCGATATATCAGTTGCCCCTCTATAAACATGTACATCCTGGAGCCTACCCATCAACCTTTTATCCACCAATACATAATCCTATCCTCAACATTCAGAAAATTTTCTCACATGTTCCAGTTTCTTTTCACCTGCTATTCTGATTTCTAATTGCATTTCCAAATTTCACCAGGTCATTTGGAGGCTGGCAGTGATGTGCGAAATGTGTTAAAGTTTCTTGTTGCCCTCAAAGGACTTGGTGGAGATATTACAAAGAAAGTTAATCTTGCTGAATTAACACCAAGAATTGTGCATGTTGGTAAGGTAAGGATCATTATTTTGTCCATTGTCTAAAAGTTGTCTTAAATTTAAGTAAAGCATAGGTATTTAACTACTGATATGTGACCTGATTTGTTCTGCTTTTACAGTACTAAATCCCTTACTCTTAATTTGTTGCAATGAAATGCGTATAAATTTGTATGATAAACTCTTCTCTCTGAAAAAATGCAAACATACCGTCCGTGAATGCATAGTTTCACAGCAGCGGGTTTTTTTCAGTGTGTGGTGGATGACATTTCAGACTTTGTCTTGAAAATGATGATTTTTGATAAATTATCAAAATTTGGAAGAAAACAGTTTTAAAAATAGGGCATACTCTTAGCAGTGAAGTGATAGTTGAAAAATGTATACAGGTTCCATTTTCTTTTTGAACATGCCATTATTCTACCAGCCACCTAAGGAAATGTTGGTTTTCACTAATGCATAATTTACTGTTGTGGTAATAGGAACATTAATATTATGCTAGAATGTTGGCTTTTCACTGTATGGATTAAAGTTTTCTCAAAGGTTCTTTATTTTCTGTCAGATTATCTTTTCCATGGTTCCTTGTTTTCTGTTAAATCATTGGACCATACGCTTTGGTAAGGAATTTTTCATTTATTTGTTCGGTGTTATAAAGGTGTTTTTATTTTATTTTATTATCACACCGGCCGATTCCCACCAAGGCAGGGTGGCCCGAAAAAGAAAAACTTTCACCATCATTCACTCCATCACTGTCTTGCCAGAAGGGTGCTTTACACTACAGTTTTTAAACTGCAACATTAACACCCCTCCTTCAGAGTGCAGGCACTGTACTTCCCATCTCCAGGACTCAAGTCCGGCATGCCGGTTTCCCTGAATCCCTTCATAAATGTTACTTTGCTCACACTCTAACAGCACGTCAAGTATTAAAAACCATTTGTCTCCATTCACTCCTATCAAACACGCTCACGCATGCCTGCTGGAAGTCCAAGCCCCTCGCACACAAAACCTCCTTTACCCCCTCCCTCCAACCCTTCCTAGGCCGACCCCTACCCCGCCTTCCTTCCACTACAGACTGATACACTCTTGAAGTCATTCTGTTTCGCTCCATTCTCTCTACATGTCCGAACCACCTCAACAACCCTTCCTCAGCCCTCTGGACAACAGTTTTGGTAATCCCGCACCTCCTCCTAACTTCCAAACTACGAATTCTCTGCATTATATTCACACCACACATTGCCCTCAGACATGACATCTCCACTGCCTCCAGCCTTCTCCTCGCTGCAACATTCATCACCCCCGCTTCACACCCATATAAGAGCGTTGGTAAAACTATACTCTCATACATTCCCTCTTTGCCTCCAAGGACAAAGTTCTTTGTCTCCACAGACTCCTAAGTGCACCACTCACTCTTTTTTCCCTCATCAATTCTATGATTCACCTCATCTTTCATAGACCCATCCACTGACACGTCCACTCCCAAATATCTGAATACGTTCACCTCCTCCATACTCTCTCCCTCCAATCTGATATTCAATCTTTCATCACCTAATCTTTTTGTTATCCTCATAACCTTACTCTTTCCTGTATTCACCTTTAATTTTCTTCTTTTGCACACCCTACCAAATTCATCCACCAATCTCTGCAACTTCTCTTCAGAATCTCCCAAGAGCACAGTGTCATCAGCAAAGAGCAGCTGTGACAACTCCCACTTTGTGTGTGATTCTTTATAAAGGTGTTCCATGCTATATATAGAAGATGCACTCCAGGCCCATGACGGCTGTGCTCAGCTCAGTCATGCCATGAATGCTTAACCCTTTCACCGTCAGAAACCCCACAATTAGAAGTACTATATTGAGTGTCTATTTTTTTTTTTCTAAATAAATGTGTAATTTTTTTCCGAAATGGTAGAGAATCTTTTTCTGACAGTAATGATACTAAAAATATGTAATTTGATGGAAAACTTACAGAATTATACAGGTACAAGATTGGCAGTCTGGGTGCAGTATTAGCATTGGAAATTTTGAGTCCCATTGCTCAGTTCATTTAAATTCTTAGCTATTTTATTTTATCAACTGAACACAAGAAACCACCCATTCAGTTATAAGAACAGAATCCAAAATAAACACTGTAAGAATTACCAACCACTAAAGCATCCTATATGCCTCTTCTTCATTAATCGTGTTCCCAGGCCTATTTTTCCTTTTCGTAAAAAAATATGAGTTACCATATCTTTGGCAACCAACAGTAAGGGAGAGGAGAGGCAAGCAGTGAAAAACGCTTAGACATCTAGGCTTCTACAGTAGTCACAAAACCATTCTAAAATAAAACAGATGGCCAGATAGCATTTATATAGATTTTAATGAAGTTCCTCATAACAGACTAGTCTGGAAACTGCAAAATGTTGAAGGTATGAAAGGCAAATTATATAGTGAATAAGATATTTTCTGTGTGGAAGCAAAATGCAAACAGCAATGAGTGGGAATGTGTCCTCAATGAGCAATGTTAGTTGTGGAGTGCCGTAAGAATTGGTGCATTTTAATACGTTATGTAAAGTAAATGTGACAGTGTTATAATAATGCTACCTGAGAGTGAGGTTTTATAAAAAAAAAAGTAGTAATTAGAAGCAAGAATTTTTCAATGTCACGTGAGTATCAAGAGCACACATACCAGAAGAAAACTAGTTTCTCAAAAAATCTGGATTTATGCTTAGAATTTTAACACTCCCACCTAGATAGGGTTACCCATAAAGGAGTTAGCAATTTCACTGCCATTCATTCAATTACTTAAGATAAGATAAGATTTCGTTCGGATTTTTAACCCCGGAGGGTTAGCCACCCAGGATAACCCAAGAAAGTCAGTGCGTCATCAAGGACTGTCTAACTTATTTCCATTGGAGTCCTCAATCTTGTCCCCCAGGATGCGACCCACACCAGTCGACTTACACCCAGGTACCTATTTGCTGCTAGGTGAACAGGACAATAGTGTAAGGAAACGTGTCGAAATGTTTCCACCCGCCGGGAATCAAACCCGGGCCCTCCGTGTGTGAAGCGGGAGCTTTAGCCACCAGGCCACCAGGCCAGAAGCATGCTGATATCACAGTTCAGATGACTCTGAACTGCAACATACCCACTGTCCTTTTTAGCATAGATGCTATAATTCACACCTCCAGGACTCGAGGCCAGCTAACCGGGTTTTCCTTGAATCCCTTCATAAATATTATGTTGCTCACACTCCACCACCACATCAAATCATAAAATCCACTTGCTTCTACTCACTCCTGCTGAACTTGTTCACACTTGCCTGTTGGTTGTCCAAACCCCTAGCACTCAAAATGTACTTTACCACCTCCCTCCAGCCTTTCTTAGGATGACCTCTGATCTTCCTTCCCTCCATGCCAGATTTATATGCTGCCCTGGTCATCCTGTTTTGCAACATCCTCTCTAAATGTCCAAACCACCTGAACAACCCCTTCTCAGCCCTCGTGAATAATACCTTTGGTAACCCCACACCTCACCAAGGACATGATTTGGGATAATTAAGTTAATATGGAATCATCTAGCATCCTCAGATTCCTGATAATTTTTATTGTGTTTTCTAGTAACTAATTGTAATGCAATATTCACCTTTTTAAAAATTAAATAATTTTGTCTTAAATTTCAAGCATATTATGTGATGATGGTATGATTGGTGGAATGATGAAGTAAAGGGTGTGATAAAAGAGAAAAAGGTAGCTTATGAGAGGTTTTTACAAAGCAGAAGTGTTATAAGAAGAGCAGAGTATATGGAGAGTAAAAGAAAGGTAAAGAGAGTGGTGAGAGAGTGCAAAAGGAGAGCAGATGATAGAGTGGGAGAGGCACTGTCAAGAAATTTTAATGAAAATAAGAAAAAATTTTGGAGTGAGTTAAACAAGTTAAGAAAGCCTAGGGAAAGTATGGATTTGTCCGTTAAAAACAGAGTAGGGGAGTTTGTAGATGGGGAGATGGAGATCTTAGGTAGATGGCGAGAATATTTTGAGGAACTTTTAAATTTTAAGGAACAAACAGAGGCAGTAATTTCATGCACTGGTCAGGGAGGTATACCATCTTTTAGGAGTGAAGAAGAGCAGAATGTAAGTGTGGGGGAGGTATGTGAGGCTTTACGAAAAATGAAAGGGGGTAAAGCAGCTGGAACTGATGGGATCATGACAGAAATGTTAAAAGCAGGGGGGGATATAGTGTTGGAGTGGTTGGTACTTTTGTTTAATAAATGGATGAAAGAGGGGAAGGTACCTAGGGATTGGCAGAAAGCATGTATAGTCCCTTTATATAAAGGGAAAGGGGACAAAAGAGACTGTAAAAATTATGAGGAATATTTACGAGTTATAGTAGTGGGGTTGGGAAAGACAGCAACCGCCAGGGAGTACTACCGCTTGCCGTTAAAAACGAAAGCCGTAATTGTGATGATATGGAGATTGGTAGTGTCGAGATATTTTGGGACTTTAAATTAAGAACATCAGAGGCATGCATTCTACTTACACTTAGGTTATACCATCTTTTAGAGGAAGAACAGAATCATGTGGGTTTAATTTGAGGCTTTCTATATTAAGGGGTTAATCAGCTGGAACTCGAGGGAATGACAGAAATTCTTAACCGGGGATATAGGTTGGTGTTGGATGAATAAAATGGGAGCAAGGGGGAATCCTGATGGATTTGAAAAAAGAATAGTCCCTTTCATATAAGAGGGGACCACAAGCCTCTGGGAATATTGAGGATGTTAAAGAAAATTACGAGAAAAGAGGAAAGGTAGGTAATAATTGAAAGAATTAGAGGTAAGACAGAATGTAGGATTGCGGATGAGCAAGGAGGGTTTTAGAGTGGGTAGGGGATGTGTAGATCAAGTGTTTACATTGAAGCATATATGTGAACAGTATTTAGATAAAGGTAGGGAAGTTTTTATTGCATTTATGGATTTAGAAAAGACATATGATAGAGTGGATAGAGGACCAATGTGGCAGATGTTGCAAGTATATGGAATAGGTGGTAAGTTATTAAATGCTGTAAAGACTTTTTATGAGGATAGTGAGGCTCAGGTT